TTCTATTGAGCAACCGACAAATGGTCTAATTAGTAAACGTGATCATGCTCATGGTCCAGGTTTGGCTAAGGCACAGTATAAAAATTACACAGCACACACACAGCTATATGCTGTGGCTAAAGCGTGTTTTAGGGAAGGCGCCTTTCAACCAAGGGAATTAAATTTTCCTAAAACGAATGGTAGGAAATTTTGGCCAGAGTGGTATATATTAGGAAAAACGAGTCGTCGTCTAGTGTCACTGTGGGCTTAAACTTTTTTTTAACTTAACTTGCACATCTTTCATTATAATGAAATTTTCCATTCGAGAAAGAGTAGAAATAATAAAAACATATTTTGGAAATGGAAGTTCTGCCAGGGCTTTCGCCCGTTTATTTAATCAGTTACATCCAGGCAGAACTATTAGCGATAAGTATGTGGGAAGATTAATCAAGAAGTTTGAAGATTCTGATGCGGTTTTGGGACATGTAGCACTCCAATCTTCTATCATGATCATCTTCATTGAATTCACGTACAAGTTTTATTTTGTAAGCATGAAATTTATGCCTTTTCAATATTATTCGTATTGACGTGCGAGAAACTATGGCGAGTACTATGGATATTGTCAAGTGCAGGAGAGTCATAAATAGGGGTGCGACCTTTTGGTTGGACCACTCTGTACATGTTTACTTAATATGTATAATTATAATTATTAACTCCATATCTTGAGTTAAACACTCAAGTGATTAAAAATTATTGTTTTAGAGAAAATTGTTATAAACTGAATTGCGGCAAAAATAGCCTGGAAAAGCTTAAAAAACTAACAAACTTAAAGTCAAGTTTAAACATTTTTATGAAGAGGACCGCTTTTCAGCTGAGTAGGTTTTGCCACCCCAGTTTCAATGCTGAAATGACGCCCCTGTACTTAGGGTTGCAAAGTAGTAAAATTTCGACTAAAACATTTAGCAGCAACTTACAGGTTTGGCCTGACTTTGCATTGTGTTATGGTTTCGAAGCCTGTCTGAGTTATTATTTAGATAAATATTCACTTAATGCACACGCGGTGTGCAAATGTTGCGACTGTTTTCTCACTGCAATTATAATATTGCAATAAATGCAGAATGCAGGATTTTTTTTAAATATGTGATTTTTCCACATGAATGGACCAAAACACAAACTAGAACTAGAATTTATTTATTTAACACTAACTCACCTTGATTAGTACGTCTTTAGGCATTTACCCCCTAGGTTGATAAACCCTTGATTGCATCGCCCCCAAAATATGTGCTCAGCTACTTTTAATTTATTAAGCATGCCAGTTTCATAATCCATAGATCTCAATGTGATTGGACCCTTCATTGGCCCAGCTCGGGCCACGTTCAACAACAGTACAGCCGCTAAAGTGATTAGAACTATTTTTCCACCCATTTTTCTCGACCAGGCACGACTTTTTAACTTGAAATCAGCACAAATGTAACTAAACTGGTACTTGATATGAGGGCGATCATAGTTGTTTGCCTTTTATCTTGGAACTTTATGTGATCATTCGAATTTCGAATGCAGCTATTTTTCTGGAAACATCAATAGAGTTCTGATAATTATATTTTTAGCAGTTACATTCATGGGTCTACGACAAAGCTTTCATTTATTTCAGTTTATGAAACATTCAGCGAAAGATAACTATTTACTGGCAGTTTATTCGATGTACTGTGGAAACAATGCAAGTTAAAGTAGGGGAGAGACAGAAACTGGGGAGTTTTACGGCCTTTAAGGCATTGTGGAAAATAATTGATTTCAGACCTTTCGCAAGCAGGAGCTTGCATATTAATTTCAAATGTTTTGCCCTCAAATCTTCTACATAGATACAGAAGAAAGACTGAAAAGAAGCAAATTTAAACGAACTAGAAATTAAAGTGGCCACAGAAGAAAAAATGAGAAAGCACCAGCAGGAAGTAAAGGTGGAGAAACAATAGAATTGATCAGAAAAAACAATTTTAAACATCGGAATAACTTTCAAATCACAAGTCCACCGACCAACTTGGCAGGTTCAAAGCGATATGACCAGGTCATGGTGAGTGCGATACCCGATTTTCAGACGCTCTATTCGTTTAGCTGTTTAACAGCAGCTTTATAATCAAGCAAAACACTCTCTATCAAAAAGTCTCTATGAATCGCCCAAGTTTTGTGCTTCTAACCACGCTTCTATTAATTCTGTTGGTCAATTTGGAAGTTAATGGAGGATATGTGGTGATTAATGGTGCTCAATATCAAGTCCACCCAACAACAACAACCGAAGCAAATGCAGCATTCAACCAGTCTCACAGAGCAATCGTGACTGTGAAAAATAATTGCCCTTCAGACAGAACCTACAATAGAATTTTACGCGTTTGTTTAAAGTTGTTTTAGGTAAGTTGTTTCATGTACTTTCAGGGTTTTTTTATTATTGGCTGTTATAGCTGTTTATAAAGTGTTGCTTTTAACTGGCCAAGCATATTATCTCTTGATTGTCCCAATGCTATGCCGGGTTCCGAATTTTAGCACTGTCATGGGTGAAATTTAAAATTTCTGAAACATTTCTGATTCAATTTTTAATTGAATTTTCTGTGAAATTTCAACACTTAATGCGTATAACAGAGTAGTAATTTACTCCTATGCTAAGGACGCCGTTTCCTGTTTAATTTGCTGTAGAAACTCGATTAATTTTGAATATCTACTCATTCGAAATTAAGTCACTGACACAATCCGTATGTTGTTATAATAAGCTCGAATCGAAAGTTGGTAATAAAATTGATTAAATAATAAATTTTATCCTCTCTCAGAAGCTTGAAATGAAGAAAAGCGCGCTTGATTTTAATTATGCAAAAAGACCCGAGACTCAGCAGAGGGTTGTCGACATTTCAACATAATCAGCATTAAATTTTGAAAATAATCACGAACACATCAGTGCAAAACAATTGCTAAAGAAGGCAGTAAATAATACAATAATAAAAGTGTTTTATTATTGTTTAAATACCAAGTGCTAATACATGGTTGATGAATCAGCCTGCAGGCAACCACTTAATATAAACAATTTCCATTCTATGTATTCAACCACAAATCGTGCAATTATGCAAAGTAGCAAATCAGTCGCAAATTTCCTTCTTGCTCATTGTTTCGCATACATTATTCCTGCAAATTGCGTTATTTACAACAACAAATGACTACCGAGATCAAATAAAGAACGCTCTACATTCTTCAAGGTGCCACACGTATTTAATAAACCTTGTCATTGAAGAAAATTGGTAATTGCTTGAATCAGCAAATCGGGTTCTTGGAAACCTCTTACGGTTTTACCATTGTAGAGGTCAAAGTCAATAAAAATGGAAATTTGATTGCCATCAGAGCTATTTTCTTCATAGACATTTCCTGGCAATTAGTCCACAAGCTCAGTTGCTGTAGTCGATGAAACAGTGAGGAATCTAATTAAAAATCGGACGTTTTTTCTGAAAATCTTCCAACAGCATTTACAAAGCGGTTAGTCTCTAGGCGAAAAAATCCCCCCATAAAAGCCAATTAACTTAAGCAACTACCTGCTTAAACCAACAACTTAGTAATCAAGTTATATTCGCAGTGGGAACATTCAAATCAACCATGTTTAGTCCAGGATTTCTTCCATTCGTTGCACTAATCTTCGTTGTAGTGGTTAGTGTGCACGGTAGGCCTCAGCAGGAACTATCTTCAGGCGCAGCCACCACTACAGAAGCCACCACTTGGGATAAAATCAAGAAAGGAGTCGAAGACGGCTGGAAGGTTGTCTACGACGAAAGTCATTGTGTAGCGCACAAGGTTTGTACATAAAAAAAATGCTTCTGGAATTTTTAAATGCTGTTTTCCAGGTAAAAGAGCTGGTAAATCATCACGACCATGCTGAAGGTGGAGATCCTTGCGAAAATAAACCATACAAGCAGAGTACTAGTACAACAGAGAAGACATTTGGTGAGTGGAACTTTTGAGGAAAATTATTTGAGTAATTTGACCAAAGTCCCAGAAAGAAATTACACATTTTTTCACCGGTTCACCAAATTTTTGTTTAGATGGTGCGTTGAAGAATTTTCAATACGTTAATGGAACATTGTTGAAGTTTTATTTATTATTTTTGGGTATTTTTAATCCAAAAAAGTTCTAACCTGGAACCAAAAATTCGGCTTTTTATACCCTAAGGCGAGACTCGTCAAGTTTCAATCATTTCAACTGATAAATGCGATGATTTTTCATCGAAAATCAGTTGCGTCTTTTCCGATAGTTCGGCAAGAGTATTCGGGTCTTTTATTGTTTGGCTTTCGGTACGAATTTCTAGCTTCTAAAGAGACAGAAGAAAAAATGTGCATATCTCAGAAACCGCTGGAAATTTGCTCTTCTGGACCTTTTTATAGCGCACTTTTTAAGAACTCTCTTCAGCTAAATTGGTTTCTTCAAAAAAGTTCTTCTCTAAAAATGTTAAACTCTCTTACGACGACCACCAATTTTATCAATATAATTGATTTAAATTTTCCTTGTACAGTATGCTCAAGAGGTGTAAAATCCGTACTTTTAGGAGGCTCAATTTTCAGGTCAATTATGGCTGAACAATTTTCTCGTAATATTTTCAGAATCCTTGCAACAAAAGCGAAGCCAACCCGATGCATAGTAAAATGTTCTTCAATTTTATTAATTTGAGAAGTATTTTTTCAGCATCAACTCCCATTTCCACAGTTGCTATAAAATGTCGAATAAGAAACTCGTTTCCTTTTGATAATTGAAATTTACTCTTAATTCTTACTATAATTTGTTATTATTTTTAGTTCATTAATTAACTGATTACTTCGTAAAACTATTAATGGCCGGAAAATCCAACGCACAAAATAAGGTGCGCTTAAAGGCAAAGAAACAACGCAAAACAAATGTGGAAGTAAAAGATTGTCCAATTTCAGATAATAAATCAAATTTTAACTCCAAGTAAATTTAAAAAAATTGTGGAATAACAAGGAAGATGTTAGTCTTAAAGCGAAAATTGCCATCAATATGCGAGTATTTAAATCGTGTATAGAATCATCATCTAAAGAATATTCAATACAAAGTAAATACTTTTATTAGTACTAATTCTGTGTTATTTTCTATTTTTGTTTTAGTTTTAGTTGCCGAAGAAAAAATCCCAGCAACCTCCCGGCCTTAGTAGGAAGCAGCCGATAAAAACACGCCCACTTATCCCAAGCGGAAACTGTATTTAAAAAAATAAAAACAGCAACAGTTCTTCACACGATTTAGGTTTTGCTTCGGATCTTTGTGAGTCGTAAGCAATTTCCTCCTATATTAACATACCCATCCATGCAAGGTACGTCGACCATGTGTCTCATTTTCATCGGGATTTTGATGGGATAATCGGTCTTCTCCTCTTTGGACACTGAAATAAAACTTCCAATCAACCATCGGACTATTTATTGGCAAACATTCATATCAAAACATTTTGAAATAAAGCTAAAGTAGAACTTCAACTAAACGGATTTTCAGTATATTCGGAAACATTTGCCTGCGATTTTTACGTGTTTCGGTTTACATTTAATATCGGCCAAAAATCGGTCTACAATCATGTAACTTCCGGTGGTGGCTGGAAATGAAGACGCAAATACCAATTCTCACTTCTCCATGCATTTGGGAAAAATCTTTAGGTCTTACCAGTGTTTTGAAGACGTTCAAACTCTTCAGGATTGATAATAAAATCATCAATTGTCCGTGAAAACACTGCCGTTGCTAGCAGTGCAACCACGGCCATCTTCAGGAATATGTGCAACATTTCTTCAAGAAATCGACTCGCACATGCCAACGTACTTGAAGTAAATATGAATATTTCAAGTTGTTTACGGTATGGATAGTGGTCCCAAACATGTCAAAGGTTATCAGGGCAGCTTTGAAAACACACTTGGCAAGAAAATGTTCGCAACAGCCAAAGAAGGCCAACTTTATCATGGGTTTTGGATGTTTGATATGCCTTGGTTTACTAAAAAGAGTTATTTGTTGCAACGGAAACGATTGCGGTTCACTTGTTTTTTTTTATGTGTGTGATGTTGGAAATTAGAAATGAAAGCATGAAGAGTAAGGACGAATTGCAGACATTAACTCCATGTTAAATTGGAATTAATGTAACGGTCGAAGTTTACCTTCCTACACTTCTCCGATTTCTGGTCCTTTAACTGCTGCTACTGCTGTATTTGTACTATCTTGTGTGTGGAACGATGGTGGGGCTAGAGTGGCCAACAGTAGCGCAAAGTTTTCTTTTCGCGCGTTTTAGTCTCTCAATAGAACTTTCGAGAAAAAGTTTCATATGAAAGTTGTCGACGCACAAAGTTCGCACATTTTAAAAATATTTTATATGATACTGATTGTCTCAGAAAAGCGAGGCAAGATGAAAGTGTATTTTTTTAAATAGACCTACCCATTTTTTATTAGCTCATATGCACCGTAATTTTTTTTTCTTACTGGCGACGTTGGCAGATTATCGCCATTTTAGTAAAATTCTGCTTAAAAACTTAGTATCTAAAAATTAATTGTAGAAGCCAAAAAAAGCAGTTAAAGATACAAAAAAAAACGTCTTTCCAGTCACCACAGATACATTAAGAATTCTAGTGAACCAAAATATCAATACAATGTTCAATATTGTACAGGGTGTTAACAATGTGGACTTTTTAACTTTTAACATAACTTTTTTTGACAACAAGTGTTTTTGAAACAATAATAATATTGTTTTGAACTCCGTTAGCGATTCATTTGAAAAACGTATTAATAGTTGCTTAAATAGATAAGTTCTATATTGTTGAGGCGGATGCATT